ACTGAGTGGAGAGAGATACTGTGAGTGCAAAAACATGACACCATGATCCATGGCTAGTCCACGAACCTGGGGCCCATTTCTCGAAAGCCCCGGAAACTTTTCGAGCCCAATAAACCACTTTTAGTTATTCGATATTTAAAGACAGAGAGGTGTATACGCCTGAAACTTCTGGTACGGAATGCAACCTCCGTTTCTATTAAGAATATGTGAATAACTCAGCTCTGTAGTCATAAAGTTTGAGATTTTTCTACGGCTTTCTGGGTGCGAAACCTTTTCGGGACCCTCGAGAAACGGGCCCCTGGACTGCTGAATCTGGACTACAACACGGTAACCACCAGAACAGCATGTCTATCTTTAAAGAAATACAAAAAGTTGTAGGTTTTGTGCTCAATCTGGAGAGTGTGTACTAAAACAATTAGACTACTTGCTTTCGTTTTCTATGAGAGAGAGTCAACTTGTCCACGCCTCGTTGACTATTCGCTCATAGAAATCTGGAGCTCATACAAAGTAATCTAATTGTAAAGTATAGATACGATTTTTTACCAATCAGCACGCATATGTTCTTTGAGCTAAGATATGAGCCAACATTTTAAGTTGTGAATTTGTCCAAAACTTGTTAAGTACATGTTTATCACAAATGGCACACGTTACAAACTTGACCCGAAAATTTTTCAACTTTTTCCTTCTAAATCAGTCTTGATACCTCAAACCTTCACCAGGGCTGTCATTAAGGTCCGTAACCCGTAACACTTGTTACGGCTGAGTATGCTTGATTTTCCCTCTATGCTACGGGTCAAATTGCCTGTTGTTGACAGAATTCAACCACAAAGTAACAAGTTTGCTATGGGTGTGGTGAACAAGGCTACAGGTGACTCAAAACTTAATGACAGCCCTGTTCACCATCCTTGTTACCTGATTCGTGTTTGCTATTGCTTTAAGAAGTTCATCAGCTCGTCATTGTGACTAACCTGATGAAGAAATTTCACAACTCAAGGAATTACGCCTTTGCAAGTTTCCTGTTTGGATTGCTGCAGTACAACCCTGGTAAGTTTATTAATGTTAGCCAACATGTTCTACGCTCTGCAAAGACTAAGTACAAATGAAAGTCTGAGTCCGTGAAGAGCAGAACTTTTCATTGAGATTTGCCATTGCTTTCTCCGCCTTCTTGGAAACAGGACCTTTCAATGGTGTTTCTTTTCCCTCCTTCCCATAACCCCTCGTACTTTTATAGAAGTCTCAAGGAATGACTGGGGAAGAGTCAGCTTCTACCAGAACCACCATGAAGTTGTTTTCTTCATTATTTACCATTTGTTCATTATGTATTGCAGGTAAACGACTTACACCCTGTCAAGCTGCTATGCATCCATTCTTGGCTCCTGAGTTTCCAAGTGCTTATCTGTTGCCATGGCAAGGAGACAAAATCTCAGGTAAAATTACTGTAGGTATTTTTTTTTTTTAGATTTCATTGCAAGAAGACAATAAAGGTAAAATATGGGTAAAGAGTTAAATTGGCCACTGTAGCGAGTTTGCAAAGCTTATGTTTTGAAATCAATGTTTTGAATCTTTGATACACTACAGTAAAAACCCCATCTAAGAACCTAGTGGTTAAGAACCTGCTGGCAGAAGTTTACCATTTTAATACCCAAAAATATAAGAAACTGTTTACCCAAGTGATAGACAGTTTAACCAAGGAGTG